TTATGCATTTTTTTTCTTGAGAAACAACAGCAAATAACAGAAGTAGAAAAGCTGTACTCCATTTTTTCCTATTAAAACCTCATTCACTGAAAAATAATAATACCCCTGCATTATAGATTCTGCAAGGCTTTGCATCAAAAAATACTGCACAAAATCAGTGCAATGCAATACCTCAGCTCAAGACGTCCCCGCCCCCTCCACAGATGCTCCACTGCACCTCTCCCAAATTGTAGCTGACCGCAGAAAGGAGGCCGGCTTGTTTTGTTTTTATGACCAAAATTGTGGAAAACTACTCGTGAAGTCTGACCCGCTAGAAGAGCGAGGTGTGCGAGAACGATGGGACCCTTTTTTCCCCTGGATCCCCTCTTTTTTTTGGACCTCATGTCCCTCCGTCGTCAGACTAAACTCGCCCCCGCTTCCTCTCCGCCTCGGCCGTATCTAGACCCACAGCGTGTAGCACAGACCACGCATTGAGCATAAATCAAAAATGTCTGCATCAAGCTCACTGCAACACACTGCTGCAGGAGTATAACCAGGAAGCGAGATAGGAGGGCAAAATAGGATTAGCGCCACCGCAGCACGGGAGGGAGAATTACACCCAGGAGCAAATGGATAAAAATAGACTGGAGGGAAAAAACATGAATCGATTCTCTTGCGGACGTATCGATGCATCGGATCGTCGGCTGTTGGATCGATGCAAAACGATTATTATTTATACCCCTAATATAAACCATGGCATTTATTGCTGTTTTTTATTTCCTATCTTTAGACATTGATCTCATTACGTTTTTAATATATGAACATTCTCTATCTGTTCCGGTTTGAGATGCTGCATAGACTCGTTAAGTGGAGCAATGCTTTATAGAATCATAATCTGTCCAAGTCAAATGTTGGAAATTGTTTTAATGTGTGCATAGCACAGAGACAGAGGTGGGAAAAATCTGCGCAGATCAGCTCACCCCAGTCGGAGCCTCTTTATACACAGTCAGTGCGACATGAAAAAAATCTCACTGGAGATTACTTAGCTGTGGTACCATTAACAGGTTTTCTTCATCTGCACATGAAGTCTTACCATTTTACCCGTCCATGTTTAAGAAATGTGCAGCCAAAAGCATCTTCACCTTCAATACCATGTTTCAGGGTTAAGGGTGACTTGCAGTGTTCACTTTCAGCCACACAGCTTCGAAAGCATTCTTAAATCTTTTTCTAACAGGGCTTTTCCAATTTTGTTTCACGTTTTCCTCATAAATGAGGACATTTTTAATTCTTTTCTATGTTTTGGTTTCTAGAAGGTACATTTTGATCATGTTTGAAGCTGTTAAAGAAAAGAATAAGAGTTTGGATTCATAATATTTGGAACTAAAAAAAAAGAATTTCTATGATTATCTCTGTTTTATTTTGCTGATTTTTAAAAATCTGATCTTTTTAGATTCCAAAAAGTTTGCTGACGGCGTGGAAAGTCAGTGTGGCCGAAGCAGAGTATCTGCTCCCAGGTCGTCAGAAGAACAGTGAAAATAAACTATCAGTATCTGTGAACGGGGAGGAACACCTGACCAGCCCTCCTCTACCCGAGGAGCCACCAGAAAGCCCCTCCGCCTCCATCGTCTCACATCGGCCCGCCTCAAGCAGTCCGACGACCAACGGAAACGGTCACCATCTCTTCAAAAATTCCTCAGCGCATCCCAACAAGAGCAAAGCCATCAGAAAGAAAAAGAAATGTTTGTCGGACATATTTGGTCATATTGTTGGTGGGAAGGAGTCCTCCATCAAGGCAGGCCAGCTTTGCACGACCACACGGGTCCTGAACGAGGAGCCGAAAGACTCTCCTTACGCTGATCTGGATTCAGTTCCCATGTTGAATCGACCAAAACGCACAGCTCTTTCTCCGATATATGACGCAGACGCCACAGACAGAAAGCAGCAGGGTGCAGTAAAGGCAAAAAAGACGTCCAAAAAGCTAAACCTTTGTACAGATTTCTCTGACTCGTCCCGTAGATTTCAGAACAAACTGACCTCTGAAGAGACAGACTCTGAACAGAGGCCTGGTGAATTATCCCAGAGCTCAGGTGAAAAACACTCTGGGACTCTTTCTGCCAGTAGCCGTCTCAATGCGAAGGCTCTGAAACCGTCTGATCTCGATGAGGGGCAGATCTCAGAAGGTCCTTTCGATAAAAAGACTCCCACTTATGCTCCCTTTAGAGCTGAACCGTCTCCAGATCGGAAATCCCCCAGAAAGACGTGTGACTTGGTTCACCACAGCTCTCCAAAGCGCCGCACAAGGAAGCTTGATAAGAAACTGATTCAGAACGGCTCTGTGATCAGGTCCCAGTGCGAGGGCTCGCTCCAGCCCACACAGCAGCAGCAGGTTAAAATCAAAACAGAGAGCTCCCCATCAGATCTATCTACTACCTCCTCCTCTTTGTCTCTGTCTCCAATTGATACTTTTCAAGATGGTAAAAAATTAAAGTTCAGATCTCTGGCCATGGAGGACAGCGACGACTCTGAGCTGAGTGCATTTCGACCTGATGCCAATTATAAATTCAGTACTTTCCTGATGCTGTTGAAGGACATGCACGACACTCGAGAGAAAGAAGGCAAACCGCTGATGCTGCCGCCGTCGGCTACCTTGATAAAGGAGGAACCCCTGGTGATCCCCACAGCAACGGAAGGCGGGTTGCTAAGAGGCTCCTGTGATGCTCTACCTCGTCAGATCAAATTAGAAAACGGACAGCCAGAGAAGCCCACGCCGAGCCAAAGCACGCCCCGAAAACCCAGGCCCTGCGCTAAAGAGGCCGACCTACCTGACCCCTACCACTGTGAAGACTTTCCTCCTCACACTGAGATCGGGAGTTCGGAGAAGCAGCGCAGAAAACAGAGGCTGCCCTCTAAGCTGAAGCTCAGAACACCTGAGCCGCCCTTTAATGAAACTGAAAGGGAGTTGATCAGGGTCCGCTCTGAATCTACGGAGCCTGTAACGGATTCGCTTAGGCAGGATCCCTCTGCCAGCTGCACAGAGAAGTCCTCAGAAATAGTGGCTCCAAAGAAGCGCTGGCAGCTGGTAGAGGAAGCCACTGAGATCGAGTCACCGGGGAAGGAGACATTAGCTGAGGGGAAGGGGTCTCCGACAACCAGAGCGTCACCTGATCTCGACCGGAGCGCCGAGGCGCACGCAGACAACGACTCGCACTCTTCAGACTCTGGCAGCACAGCCGGTAAGACGCAGACAAGTGCTTTATGGGTTGTTTACCTAGATGATGCTTTGTTAAATAAAAGTTTTTTATTTTTGGCACAGGACAATCTGAGAACAAACGCCTCCGGAAACCAACTAAGAGGCTCTTGGAGTCCACCGAGGAGTATGAACAAATATTTTCCACGAAAAAGAGGTCGAAGAAGCACACTGCAGAATGTCCCAAAGCGGTGAGGAAATTTTTATCGTTCTGTGGTTTCCCTAAAGATACAGAAAAAAAAAACAGGATAGCTCCACTTTCAATGAATAAATCAATAAATAGATATCCCACTATAACCACAGAGCTCAGTGCACAGCATTGTTATGCATTGGTAATGGACCAGCAGAGTAAAATGTATTTGACAAAAAAAAAAGCAAAAATTTTAAAGGTACTTTTGTTTTCCAACTGTTTAAATAGTGTAGGTAAAAAAAACATCCTGTCTTGGAATGACTGCTGGAGGGTTTTTTTGCGTCTCTATAAGTCATTCACATGGAAAGCATCTGTGTACATCAGCTTTTCAAGTGTTGCATCATATTCTCTGTTGAATTTAGGTCTATACTTTATGCTGTTTGAACACACAGGCATGCTTTGACATAAATGCTTCAGCTGTAGCTCAGGATGTTTGGGTGTTGGTCTCGCTGAAGGGTGAATATTTGCAGCAGTTTTAAGTCTGTTGCATACACCACAGATTTTTCTTTTTCAATAACGCTATGTTTATCTCAATCCATCTCCTTTTAAACTCTGATTATCTTTCCTGTGTCAGTTTTGGTGTCAGTATTGTTACAAGCAAAATACACTTTATTTTTATTTTTATGGAAGTTTGAAAAAAAAAAAAAGTACACCCAGGACAGCTGGCCACTCTATGTGCAAATGTAGTCTGGAAAGGAAACTTTGAGAAAGGTCTTAAAAAGGGTTTGATAATACCTTTGCTTTTTTCTCAGATTTAATTTTTTATATTATTTTCAAATGTTTTTCAAGTCCATCCATCTTCCGTCATGCCTATTCCAGCTGGGGTCATGGGGGGTGCTGGTGCCTATCTTCAGCTGTCAATGGGCGAGAGGCGGGGTCCACTCTGGACAGGTCGCCAGTCCATTGCAGGGCGACACAGAGACAAACAGGACAAAGAACCATTCACACCTAAGGAGAATTTAGAGCAGCTAATTATCCGAA